TGCCGCTAACACTTACTTGTGCATGTGGTCGTACAATGAATATGCAGGAGTCCTCCCGCAACCCGGATCACTTTGTTCCTTAGGTTACAAACATATTTGTCCACCACACAGACGGTTTCAGCAACTCCATACGTCGTGTTCATACTAATAAAGTTGAGTCTTTTTTGGAACTATATCAAAAGACGCTTGAAAAAATCTACGGGGTCGGTCTGAAATCTGATATGGGAACATCTAGATGGAGTACAGTACCGAAAGTGGTTTAGTCTTTCTATACAGACGTTTAAGAATGACTTTCATATTTATCTGCAACATCCTGCGCAGTTGTATCCATGTTGAATACCATTTACTATTTATTAGATTATTTTTTATTTATTTCTGTGCTTCAACGTTCTGGTGATATGTTTCACTACTTATGAGCAGTATTTATATTTTTACGAAAATCGCCGAGGGGGGGGGTGCCGGATGAAAACGTGAGCCGTTCTCACATATATCGTGTTGTAGTGCACAACGGCACTCTGAGCTTACGGTATTATGTGGCTTATCACCTTTTAGCCACGAGATACACTCGGGCAGGTATTCGATACACGAATACCCGTGCTCTGTTGCCAAGGCCGGGCACTCGATATACGAATGCCAACACGACCAAACACCTGTGCTCATGGGCTCTCTGGGGAGTCACTGAGGAACAGTGTTCGTGGGATTCCAGAGGGCCTTTACGATCAATCTGCAAGGTACAGAAAACAAACCAACATGAACCAAAGGTCCAGTAAGACATGCACACGACTCACAGTCAAATCAAAATAGCCGCGCTACGGCTGCACGTTACAGTGTACTGTGACAGAAAACACAACGCATGCGTTTCAATTGGCGCTCAGTTCAGTTTGTAGTGTACAGCCCATATTCAAACCCACCGTCTAAATTCGTCTTTCTCTTTTTATTTTTGCCTTTCAGAGTATGATCACTTTGCCCGCCATCAAAACAGAAATGCCAATCGAGAGACGAATCGTGAGACATGATATTGATTGTTATTTGACTCGAAAGACCGACTATATTTTTGTTCCACTGTTTGTGCCAGAGACTTGTCTCACGCACGCCAGGATCGACACACTGTATCGTTTTCGATTAGCCCCACGTTACTGTTGACAATACACGTCGTCTCTCAACCTTGTGTTCTTCCTTGTGGAATTATACGACGACTGTTGTTCCGTGTGTTCGCATCTAACTGTTGTGCTCCTCTTTCAGCCAGTTCGATCCTGGTGTGAACAAGGATTATTCGACGTTGCTCGCGTGACCTCAGTGAGTCTGGTTCGTCAACCCCCTGTTCGTATACTACAAAATTGGCGACCCTGCCAGGATAACATGAAGAGCTCCACCGACGACCATGCCTCTTTACCGAAAGGCGTTTCGCTTGCGGAGCAACTGAGACGCCTGATATCACAACTAATGACCTTATTATCTTCCGTCATCGCTGGAGGATTTGTACACACACATTCAGCTCCCACCATCCCCGCTCCCGACAAATTTTTTCTCAAGGACGACTTTTCCCTGTGGGTAGCTGATGCAAAAAACTATGTGGATTTGTTTCTCCCCGCCGAACAACGGAGATTTCTGTTATCACTCCTGGATACAGATGCTCGTGCTATTCTACTACAGGATGGCATCCTGGATGAGGAAGTCACAGACGACACGTTCACCCAGCTCCAATCCGCTCTCACTACGCACAAGAATCCTATGCTTCTACAGTTCCAGTTTCAAACTAGGGCCCAACAACCCGATGAAGCATTCGATGTTTATGTNTTCCTGCGTTGCCACGAGATATCCGGGAAGAGAAAGTTCTTCATCAGATACACGTGGGTGTTCGGAACGCCGGCCTCATCCGAAAGTTCCACCGCTACAGCTCGCAGACTGTGCAGCAGGCGATTGATACCGCGCGGGAGGAGGAACAATTGGAAGATGTTATACGTCAGTATCAGGTATCGGCACCGTCGTACGCCATGGCTACCGGCCCTTCCAGGACACCTCAGGGTTACAGCCGCCCACCACAGCCCAACCCGGACCAGCATACGCCTACCAGCGAGGTCGTGGCCGAGTTCCTCGTTGGTCAACAGAGCGCGGCAACTGTGA